TCATTTTTGGGTGGAGACCTTCTTCGTGGACTCGATAAGCGTGTTGATGTAATTGGTGAACGGCCGCTGTAGGGCCATTTGTGAACAGCCGCCGTGATGTGAAAATAAAACTCTTAATTTTCCTATGTTATGGGATTCTAAGGGTGGGTGGGTGTTTTGTCAAAGCCGTGAATGTAACTTGTCATTAAAATTGCTCGAGCCGGGAGCTGCTGAATCCTAAACCCTAAACCCTAAACCCCTTAACCCTAAACCCTAAACCCTAAACCGCAAACCGCCCCTGAGGCCTGCCACTCAGCCTCGAGACCCTCCCGGCACGTCTCCGGGGCCAGGCGAAGCTTTCTCGCCGTCGCAAGGCGCCCGCGGTGGGCGGTGCCTTTAAAAGGGGTTTGGGGTTTAGGGCTTTAGGGTTTAGGGTTTAGGGGTTTAGGGTTTAGGCGGTTTAGGGTTTAGGGTTTGGGGGTTTAGGAGTTCAGGGTTTAGGGGTTTAAGGGTTTAGGGGTTTAGGGGTTTAGGGTGTGCCTGACGGGGGGCCTCGGAGGCCCAGCTGGGGTTGTGTGGTGGTCGTGGCGTGAGTGGGAGTGGTAGACGTAGTGGTGGTGGTGGTGGTGGTAGTAAGTAGTAGTCGTAATGGTAGTGGTAGTGGTAGTGTTGTTTGTCCTGGTTGCAGCAGCAGCAGCAGCAGCAGCAGCTGCAGCTGTTGTGTGCCTTGGTCACGTGTGGTCCACCACCACAAGAGCTAGCTGTTTGTTGTGCTGGTACGGCGACTGTAATTGAAAACGGCATCGAATTTTCCAGCATTCTGCTCCTTGTCGGAATTGCATGCGTGGAGGTGAAGCCCCACAGATTCCGCTTATTGCATAGCGGCAAAGCCCCTGCTTACCCTACCTGGTTGGCTGAGAGCTCTGGGACTTCGGAGGCTTGCAAGTGCCCCGGAAATGGAGGCCAAAGTATCCCAAGGCCCTGAACTACGAGATCTCCCCTCTTAGCTGGAGAGGCGAGCCGTGAGTTAGGCTCACAAAAGGTAAGATACCTAGGTATCATAGGTCTAGTCCTTGGTATTCCTATCTTCGCTGCCCGGACGTGCTGTATGGGTGGACTAACTTTCGTCTCTCCTGTGGATTTCCGAGTCTGATAGAAGTTGCCAGAAAAAGCCGAAGCTTCTGCTTTAGACTTCCTTGCATTACAGAGTGCCAGGTGGAAGACAGAGTCGATGTGGCCAAGCTTTCCCGCTAGATCCTGGCAATCCCTGCCTGGTTGAAGCCCGCGGTGCCTGGAACGTGCTTGGTGACTCTGGCATAAGAGTGCCGGTCGGGCTGCGAGACTTTCGACCGCATGCATGTAAGTTGGGTAAGAGCAGGCGACTAGCTTCATTATTGTAGCCAGTGTACAGCCGAACAGACTGGGCGGGAGCTTGCGAATGACAGAGCATTTCACAACTTAGATCCTTGCTACATCTTGCTACCGGAGATGGAGATCTCAATATGCTTCCCCCGGAAGACTTTCTCAGACCTTCGTGTGCCACCGTCGATTGCTTCGGTGGCGGGCACATGTTTAAACTCTAAGATACCAGTTGGCTTGTGCCACAGCCCATGGTTCAAGTGCAGACCTCGCAGCCCGCTGATTAAGCAGCTGATGCAGCTTGTTGTCGACGAGTTATTGAGCGGCTCGTGGTACCAGCCGTTTTTCGGAGTACGTTCCTGCATTGCTCCAAAACTCTCTCTTTCAATTTCGGGTCGGCTGTCCGTGGCACTTCCTCGCTCTCCGGTCTCCAGCCCTGGAGTCGCACATCGGCGGCATTCCGCGGCCCTGCGAGGTTAGCTGCGCGAAGCCTCAGCTGAAGCACGGAATTCATTGCAGTTTGATGTGTGTTCAGCCAGCCAGGGGCGCGTGCGTCATGTTTTAGCGCTAATTGCAGTGGCCGCAGATTTTCTCGTTCCTTGTGCGCTCCACCGAAGACAGGATACAATCCCTGCTGGTTGCAATCGCATTCACGACGTTTAGAGCACTTATGTAGGCAGTGTCCCTACTTTGTCTCTTGGCCAAAGGCCTTATGCACCACTGATAGCGCGGTCTCTGAGAACCTGACAGTATTGATGTCGGAGACTTGCGAATCAGGCCATGTGCACTTCTCACGAATGAATTTGAACCTGCAGCGGTGGGCTTTTCCAAACAGTGAGGCTCGTGAGATCTTCGACACGTGCATACACGCTTAGAGAATCTGGGAGACTGCAACTTCCGGCATGCTGCTGACCTCACTTGCTGCCGGTTGCTCAATGTTGCCCACCTGCAAGATAAGTGCCGCAAGCAGATGCTGTTGAGAACCTTTTGCGTGAGCTTCTGTACATAGGAACTGGAAACATAAGACAATAGCAGGTGCCTGAACCTTGTCATATATCTGGATGCACTTCAGCAGAAGTGGTGAGTTCCGGGAGGATTGCAGGCAGACGCTCAGATGAAGGTTCTGCTGACCGGAGAATTTGTGCACGAGTTCATGGAGCCAACATTCCTTTTCAAGCTCTTAATATGTGCATCGGGTGCCAGGCGGCACGTGCAGCAAGGCATAAAAATCTGCGAAACTGCTTCAGGTGTAGGAAGCCCCGGGACCTCAAGTGCTCGTTGGGTCTTCCAAGAGCATGTTCTCAAGATCCGAGGCACAGCACTTCGTTGGGAGCAACAACGTGAACCTTCTCCAGCCCGCTGCCTCAGAGCTAAACCTAGGATTCTGACGAAAATGGAAGCGAATCGAAGCTGCGGACCAAGGCCATGTGGCCAGTTTGGAACACGCAACCAGGGTGGGAAGGTTGGACTGCCGAGAGCGAGAGAGAGAGAGAGAGAGGAAGAGAGAGACAGAGACAGAGCTAGCCTGGCTTTTACCCCCTATCTCTGCTGCTCCTCAAAACACCCGTGCCAACAGTCAACACCACACTCGTCCACAAACCAGTGGTAAAGCAGTGATAGGGCCACAGGCAAGCTCCAGGGGACGATCCCCCCCTCGCTCTCCTTGTTGCTGGCAGCCTAGTTGTAACCCCTACCGCGACATGGGATGAAGCCCCTGGAGCAGAACACACAGCATCCGCGCAATGACAAGGGGATGTACCGTAGCCAAGTAGAGAGTGGGATTCAGCACCAACGAGCCCCCCTAGGCTGTCTAGGGGGATGAGTCGGTTTGCGAGTTAGGTGCCCTCACCAGGGGCCAAAGGTGCTGAGTCCCACCAAAGTGTCACCTCAATTGAAAGACCACAGACAACGGCGTAGCGCGAGAGCGAAGGGGTAGCGTCCCCCGGGGCCCGCCCCAAACGTCGCGCAAGCAAGCACGCAAGACAGAGCCGCAAGTGCTTCACTGCAGAAGTAGTGGCCTTGGTGCTGATAGCCTTTTTTAGTAAGTCGCTCCGCAACAGTCGGGGGCGCTGACGCGCACGGGCGAGGGGGGCTTGCCTCCCCTGCGCCTATCCCTGGCGAAAAAAAAGAGAGAGCGAGCGACCCAGCCATGGCGGAAGAAAGCGACAGAGAGAGCGAGAGCGATCGCAGTGCATATTGTTAGAATCACCGGCGTCAAGGGGAGAGGAAGGGAAGTGTGAGGGCGGTGCCCTACCAAAACTGCCATCTATTTGGGCTAGCCAGGACCAGTGCTAACGCAAATGGAAACTTGACAGCAGTTTTCTACTTTCGTGGCGTATAGGTAGTATATGTATAACAGCTTTTCAATGTGCTTGTTGGTATGTGCGTGTGCGATGCCCTGTGTCTCTGACTGCATTTACCAGCCGCACTCACCTTTGTTCTTTCGGACGGAGCATTGGCCAAAGAAGAACACTACAGGCAAATGAGCCCCCATAACTCTAGTGCTTAGCCCTGTGCCCTGAAGTCCGTGGCACTTGTGTGGTTGAGGACCACGCTGCTCCTCGATACATCTTCACCAAGTTATCACCTGCTGCGTGGCACCCGGTAGCGCAGGTGCCGTTTCTGCGCATGTTAGCGTCTGGAATGAGGCGAGATGCATCTTCCCTGCAGAGGATGACCCAGTCCTTGAGCCATTTGCTGAGCGGCGGCAGGCATGAACTCATAATTGGAGTTTGGAAGACCAAGCAAATTGAGAAGCGCGCCGAGGTATCAGTCCGAAGAGGGTCAGCGCATTGAACCTCGATGGTACTGTCCCGTGATTCCGCTTGCCTGGGGCCCCTGCGAGACGGGGGAGCATCCTGTGCAACATCTAGGGATGAAAGCAACAGTTTCATGCTTCGAGGTCCTCGTAAACGGATCAGAAGGCATTGGTGTGGGTTGGAGCACAAGTGTGCCCAACTACAATCCGCGGGACTTGATCGCAAATGCACGGGCCGCAGAGAACGACACGCTTGCTTCAGTGATTTCCAAGCTGTTTATCGGGTCATGTGGGACTCTATCTTATCTTATATTCGATACTATCCTAGACTCGTATTTGCTATACTATAGTATACGAGATCTTACGAGAGACTTATATAATTATACTGTAACATACCAAGAAAGCCCGGCCAGAGGCTGAGCAGGGGAGTGGGGGTCAGGTCCGGCGGCACCTGCGCGGCGAGCCCCTGGAGCCGATGACGCCTTGGCCCGCTCCCGTTTCGGAGTCCTCCCACCACCTCCGCAAAAAACCAGTCCATGCAATGCCCGCAAAAGTCGAGGTATCGTGGCTTCCGCGGCACTGTAGCTGCAACAGACAAGCCTGGGCGATACGAGACCGTGGGAGTGGCGCAGAGGCCCGGAGTGAGCCGGCCCCGCAGCGGCTTTGTCTGTGATCTCAGAGGCACGGCTCGACGCGGATCGAAGTCACTGAGCTGCCGGTGAGGAAATGGACCCAGGAGTGCCAGTGGAGACCAGATTGTTTGAGCATTCGATGTCAGTCGTCTTTTGGAGAGAAACCGTGGAAGCATCCAGGATTACAAAGAGTGGATAATGGACCAGCTCCAGGCTGCGGCTGTGTGCAGCTCTTCTTCTTGAGTTTCCGGGGGAATCGCCACTGAGCCTGTGGCGCAGGAGATGTGTGTTCGTGCACTTTTCCTGTGTCGCAGGCCGATGACGGAAAGAGAGCCACGATTTCGGAGTTCCGCGAGTACCATACGGTGCGGGGAGACTAAACACTGCAAGCATCCAGCCAGCTTTTGTAAGGCAGACCCCTGTGTCTGAACACCGCTTTGTGTGTGTTTAGTGAGTTTTGTTCCCGAAGCGTTGGCGAATATGTTCTTATGTGACGATACTCCTGTTTATCAAAACGTCCAGGTCACCCATCGGAGCACTTGTTTGTCTGTAGGCATGCCATCACGTTTGCTCCAAGATGTGGTCCCAGGACAACACGGTTCACTTCAGCTTGGCCATGCTTCCTGACAAGGACCTTGTCCCGGGTGCCCGTGAGCCTCCAAGTCCACAGCTGCATGCAGGTGGCTCTAGCCGAAGGGCGTGGCTTGGAGAAGTTCTTCCACTTGAAGATCCTTGGATGCAAGTCTTGAGGGAAACCTGATGGTGTCCCTCGCACGTTCCATGTCTGTGCAGGTCCACAATCTCGACTACGAACATGCACCTCTTTGATGCCAGAGTTGGGCTTACGCTGGCGATTCATGCTTCCTTGGCGTCTTGAGCATCACCAGCATCCAATTTACGCCGCCCAGGTGGAAAGTTGAAGAAATACGAATCACCCGAGGAGATCTTGCAAGATTTCGCGAAGGCCTCCGCTAGACGCAGGTATCAAGAGCTCTTTGAGCCCCGGGTCTTCTGAGCTGCCGCTGTTTCGGCAGCTGGGCAGCAACAGATTGACGCAAGGGCAGCAAATTCCACCCATTGCGGGGCTCAGCACATTTCCTGTTGCATGGACTAAAGCTGGAATGCCGGTTCATGCTTGGCAGGTTCGCCTGGAGAAGTACGGGAAGAGAAAAGAGTACTGCATCGAAAAGCTTCAGAAGGAGGCCCGGGTGGAGCGAGGACAGCTAGCTTAAGTAGCCGATCGCCCGTCCCCAGCCCATCCCTCTCGGAGCATAAGTCCAAAGGTGGCCACTCTGACCGACAAGGCAAAGTTCATTCGCTTGGTGGTGGATGGCGAGCTGGAGGTCGGATGATGGCATCAGCACAGAGCTCTCGTCTGCTTTCAGCCGCGCCGCCAGATTGCAGACCGGGCTTCTCAAAAGGCAGTGGCTTCAGTGTTTTCTTGCCCTTTGATGTTGACATTTTGAGACAGCTTCACGAGGTGTGCAACGACATGAAGCGCTTCGGACTTCGGACGAAGCAGGAGATCGAGGTGATTTGGTCAGATATTCCCATATCCGCATTGCAACGAAGGGCTGCATGCTGTTCTGACACAGGCCGGTGTCGAAGAGAAGCCCCATGCAGCTCGAAATTCGTCGGGTTCCCAGCGCCAGCGGCGGTATGCTCTGAGTCCGTGGTAGAGTGAGATTGCTGAGGCGGCGCCTGCGGGCCGTGATTGATGTCACCGACACCGATGTGGATCTGGACAGCCACGACTTGCGCATGGACAGGGTGTGAGGAAGCCTGCCAGCGTGTTGCAGGCAGGACCTCAAGGCTACGAGTACTTGCTGAAGCTCAAGCTTTGGACTCTCACGGAGGACTCGGGTTTTCTAAAGGACACGCGTTGTCTTTTACAACCTTATGGTATATCATACGATACTAAATTTACAAAATCGTGCTCTATCATCGTATATCATATCAGGTCATGTGAAATCATATCACATCATCCTAAACCCTCAAGCCTAAACCCTAATCCCAACGGAGAGGAGCGCTTGGAAGCCTTGCAGCGGCAGCTGGCCTCAAAGCGCCAGGAGCTTGAGGACCTCAAGGCCGAGCCAAGGGCGGTTTTAGGGTTTAAAGTTTAGGGTTTAGGGTTTAAAGTTTTAGGGTTTTAGGGTTTAGGGTTTAGGGGTTTAGGGTTCAGGGGTTTAGGGGTTTAGAGTTTAGGGTGTGTGGACCAAACTTCCGCGGTAGGTGTTCTAGTTTTTCGTGCAACGGAGCCATCGCGACGTACGTCCGATATTGTCCAGAGCAAGAGAATTCCGTCACAGACGTGGAGCTCTCAATCTCCCACCCCGAGATGCCACCCAAAACTTTTGTAATAAGCTGAAGTCCACAAGCGGCCCAAAAATCACAGAAAATTCTAAAGCCGGCACGCGCAAAGAACGGCGCTGTTTTGCTGCAGAATGTGGCCCCGACCCCTTCGGGCACACGAGCACTCGAGGGTCCTTTTTCCGATCCGGGCTCAAACGTGTTGGGTTTAGGGCGGGTATGTATTATCATCGACCGTACTGTCAATACAGAATTATTAAGGAAAGTTGTGCACAGTCATGCACTTACCTGTAAATGGGTTGTAATTATGTACCATAACTACCATTTACTTCTAAGTAAGACTAGAATGTCATTTGTTTGCATTCCCGACAAGCGGTGTTAGGCTCTTGAACGTGTGAAGGCTTAAGCTGAGCATTCAGGCTTAAGCTTTCGGGTATAGGGTTTAGAGTATAGAGCATGTTCATATAAGATCGTGTGGCATAGAAAATTGATGTGATAGAGGGTAAGGTCTCCTCCATCTTTTCTGATCTGCGGCCTCAGGCAACCAGCCTGGAACAGCTGTGGGAGTGGGCCCCAGAAAATTTGGCGTTTAAGGTTGAGGGTTTAGGATTTAGGAATTAGTTTGCGCTGGGGGTTATCTTCGAAGCCCTTATGATGGCCCCTATGCATCTGTCTGTGACTCTGCATGGCGTCGTGAGGAGATGGATTTGGTCCGGCTGGAGTCCGCTTTGGACGTCGTGGAGGCCCATCACAACAAACCGATGACCATGCTATTCAATACTCATACCATGGATTGATGGCATCATTTCCATATTAAATGCTAAAATACTTCGAGCAGAGCCAGGCCGAAGAGCGGAAGGAGCAACAAGAGGCAGCCGCAAAGCTCAGAGA